ATTAGCTAGGAAAGGAAAGGAAAAGTTCGAATATGAAAATATAAAATCGAAAAGATTGAGATTCATCAAGCCTCGGATTATACCGGCGATTTCTACTCGAGTTTGCCCGTTTCTTTCTTTCGTTCACCCCGTGTACACGTATCGGTTGTCTTGTCCAATCAGTTGAACAAGGGTATATAGTTAGAAAGGGAAGAGAGAGAGCGAGGAGCGACGCGAACCAGCCTTGCAAATTAATGTCTCTTTATTTCGTAGCGAGCATTTCGTTAAAGGTTGATTTATCGCCATATACTTCGCGACTCGCCTTTTTATCGGCCGATCGCCCGCGGCTTCGATCGTTCCTTTAATTATGCAACGCCGTTACGGATCTTATTCGCGGCCCGAAGCTAATAATAATCTCCTTTTCCTTTTCTTTTCCGCGGGATCCTTTTTCTTTTTCTTCTTCTTCTTCTTCTTCCTCTTCTCATCCCGCGGGGGAAAGTATTGATAAAACGTGCCGTGTTAAATGCACTGCTCGAAACAATCGGAGAATCTGATTTCTAAATCTGATAGATCAGGGAGAGGAATGAAATACGCCGTGTTAAACGGCGCGCTATTTCGTTCAGCCTCGTTTCACCCGAAATGAGCTCTCTCGTTCGAATGCAAGAAATGAGTTTATGGGCGTATACACAGGATTCGTAAATGGGTCAGTTACACAGGGGATATAGATGAATTTTTAACACTTTAAGATTTACTGCCGGAGATCGGTAAACTCAGCTTGAGTTCAAGTATTAAAAATTCCTCGCGATAAATATTAATTTTTATCGTATCGTTTCCCGCGCATTGTTTCACTTTGCGCGTTATTTACGAGCCGTTAAAAATTGCGTTAAAATACAAAGTACGCCAATTCCTCTACTTCGTCCCTTGTAAATATTCCTTTCTCGTATTTTCAAGCGTATTTTAAACGTCTCGTTAAAAATTGCGCGCATTACAGGCCGTTTCCGGTAATCGAAACAAGCTCGCGACCCTTTCTCCTCGTTAAGCTAGCGAGCAATCATTTCCCATTTGTCGCGAATATCGGCCATTTATCGCGAGCCATGGCCGCCTCGTGTAACGAATACACCATAGTTTCTCTCCTCCCCGACTTTCAGCAAAGGCAACGATCTCTTTTGCCTTTTCCACCTTGTGTCCCGTTAATGGAAATATCTTCCGTCACATACCGGCACAGCTAATTAACCATAACTTTCCTCAAACGTATGTAACGCGGTGATTATCCGCAGTTTTATCCAGAGGTGGCAATGAACATATCCCAACTACGTGCATTTGTTTCGGGAAAATATTTAAAAAGGAATCTCTTGGGATGTATCAGATCTCGTCCACGGGTCGATCCCATACCATTTCAAATCGTGCGAAATAATTTACGAGGAATGAACAACGATCGTATAATTACGATACTTAATAGTCGCGCTCGTGGTAATGGAAACGAGGAAGGATTTGGTATATATCGGGTCGCAGAAGAGTTGCATAATTCCAAGTAATTCTCACTCGAGTCGCACTCGAGAAACACGCTCGATTTAATCGAGATGATCGTCCGGCTAAAATTCTAATTCTACTTAACGACAAGCCGGCCTCGTCCCGTCCCGACTCGTTCTCGATCCCGCTTTCCTCGAGAGCCGTGTCTCCTGTCCCGTAGGGATCGTAAAACGGCCGGTCGAGGTAATTAATAACGAATTTATCCGAGTGATAAGGTGGTCCGCGGCACGCCGCCTCATAAGCGTATCTCGTTTGATTTGACTGACCGGCAATAAAGCACCATTAACACCGTCCGGCATTTTTCACCGGAGTGCAAAGTGTTAAATTATAAAGTCACCGTGGAGAACCAGATCGGACGCGATATTTCTTGCTCGTCCCGCTGCAGATCTCCCGCTCGTTACACTAGGCCTCCTCTCTTCCATAAAGTGGCTTCGTGTCGATACCCCGACAGAGTCTGGATCTTGTCGTACGATCGAATTAATATTATCAGCGGAATTATACAAGACGTCGGTTACAAGTTTACCGGTGTTAATAAATTTTGTCACATGGCGAGCGACGAAGTTTGATTATTAAAACATTCCGATTTTTTCTCTCTTTTTCTTCCTTTCTTCTTTTGTATTATTGCGAAAGAGTAGCGCGTGTAATCCAACTTGTAAATTTCTCGATTCGCTCGTATTGTTATTATTATTATTAATTAATCCTTAAGAAATCGAAAGTTACACACGTTTCCTTTCAAATCAATCTTATACTCGTTCAACATATTTTCTTCGCCACGTTTGAAACTTATGTAAAGAAATTTCAAATTAGAATTTATAATAGAATCTGTTCGTCAAATTTCACGTAACTCAAACGTAACGTTTATTTCCTTATTATTTTCGAATATTCGGTATTCACGATATTTTTCTTTTTTTTTCTCTCCTCTTATTTCCCAATTTCCTCCCAAAAGCAACACAGTTGACATCCGCCGGTGTCGGAATATTGGGCTTGGCGCGTGGGTGCGGAAAGAACGTGTACACAGCCGTGATCGTGTCCCCAACCTGCGATAGCCGCACCGACCGGTGCAATAACAGTGATTAAGCTTTATCGTGGCCGTTTCAACGGACTATTTATCTGTCGGCCGCGAAATTACGCGCTGTAAAGACATAATAGGAACGTGATCCAATATTGTCGTTTGTTCGTTCGGCGGACGGCAGAGAGAACCGGTCACGCAAAAAAAAAAGAAAAAAAAAAGAAAAAGAAAGAAAGAAAAGAAAAGAAAAGAGAAAAAAACTACCGGTTATTAATCGGGAATTTAATAGTTTTATGTGTTCCATCGGCCGATACGACTTCATTCATAGAAAACATCGCAACGACGACAGGTCAGAGTAGCAACCGTTATCTTTGAATCGATTATTCGAAGTGAAACGAAGTAACACGGAAGATAGATATGACCGATTCCATCTAATTTTCTTAAGCGCTTTCCGATTGGTAATTTTACAAATATGATAATTAACCACTTCTTCTTCCCATTTCCAACTCTAAATAACTTAAAATTGTACAAAAAGTTGTTGATAACGTATCTACGTTTAATAACGTATAAACAAGCTAATAATCCGGCATCTCTTAAGTTTATCGGGGGAGACTTATTCTCGATTAGAAGAAAAAGAACAGGTCCACGAGGATCAAAGTTTCCAGAACAACTTTCGAACGAGAGAGAGCTCGACACACGGATCAAACACACGGGGAAGTGTGCGTGCGTCGATGGAAAAATGATCCGTGAGAAATTCGTGGCACTCCCATTACCAACCGTTTTCCCCGCACTTGTCCGACTATTAAAATACAATAGGGTGGCGAGGCGAAGTTGGATTTTTTTCTAACACAATGCGATCGAGGCGAGGACAGCTCGATAACTCTCAGCGGGGAGGGGCGCGAAAAGGGACAACGAAAGACTGCGACGACGGGGGCACGAGGCGAGCATCGACGGCCACCGCCGCGCCACTGTGAGAGAAAACCGATCTAATAGGGTGCGATTATTTACCGATGGTTTGCATAAGAATACGACAACTGAATAACCTATAGGAAATTGTTGTTGTTACGCGTACGAAAGCAAATAAGAGAGAAATAGTTGGTTGCATATCGCCGGTTGATTTATGGGGCAGAGAGCAGCTTATTTCTCCGAGTTGGTTAACAATTGTTTCCTGACAATGAGCGTATATCAGATATGAGTGACACGAAGGAACGTTTTCTACCATTCATCAAGCTGGCACTCGGCCGGCGAGTAAAGTAATTACACGTTTTCCTGTGTCGTTTCAAAGGGTCATCCATCTGCTAGGAAACCGGGGAAACGATTCCGCCAACGGCGGCTCCCTACGCGACAAAATAAATCTCTAATTAGCCGGTTTAATAGGAAGGAAGTTTCGATCGGATCCCGGGGGTCTGCCCGGTTGAAAAGGCTCGTTGAATATTCAAGGAATAGAAATTGATGGAGCGGGGATGGACTCGGGTTGGAATGGTAATTTTTACGTGAAATCATACGTCTTGTCGCGCTAATTAAACGTACATCTTAATCAATCGATCGTCTTACACACTTGCGCGTTTATATACACAGCGTGGGATTCAATCTCTCTCCTTTTTCTCCGCTCTTTCGTCGCACCACAGACGAATTATTGATATCTCTCAATTAAAATCGGTCATCTTTTATTATTCGTCGCAAGCGTGAATCGTGCGTTTCGCGAGAACGAAACGAATTATTTATGCATCGGCCAATGTCGAGCGTGGTTTAATTTTGCCAGGATCCGTGGGATAATTAACTTGGTTAGTTTATAAAAAGTATCCAGCTGCCGATAATCCGAAAATAAAATTGTCGAGATCGTGACGGAACAGCGGAGAACCGTAACCGTTACGTAACAACGATTTCTTTTTCCGAGGCCGAGAAACATATTATTCTTTCATACCGTTGAATCTTAGTCGATGAACTTTCGACTATTCGAATCGTGTTATATCCATCGGGCCTAATGAGAAATTTCATTATCGGCCCGATCCATTAGTCGTTCGCTCGTTCGTAATTTTCGTTCGAAAAAGATCGGTCGATTTTGTAAAAGGTTCACAAACGGTAAATGTCGAACCACGAGAGGCGGAAAACGATCGTCGATTAATACCATTAATACCTTTATCTCCACCGTTCAAAGGAATATCTATCTTTTCAAACCCGTTGACCGATATATCTCTTCCCATCGATTCCAAGACAATGTTACGTAACGCGAGACCATTTTAACTTTCGCATGTTGTAGAAAATTTGTAAAAATTCGTCGCGTAAGGATCAATTAATCCGTAATACGCTATCCATGTAGTTGGAATTTTTTTTTACTTTTACACGATGCAAATCGAACAACGATTTATCTATCTATAGGTCTGCGTATGCACACGTACCGTCGATCGTTAAAAAAAGATCGTTTCGCGTTACGATATATTTTCGTTGGTCGAGGAATACAGAGAATACGAAGAGAACTCACCGGAGGAAGGTCGATCCGAGTATCTGGTGCAGTAGACCCAAGCAGGCCAAGGCAACTGCTTTCCAGGATCGGTTACAGGTGGTCCGGGCGTGTTGGAGGCAGGATTGGCGGTGGTAACGGACGTGGCGTTGGTCGTCGAGCTAGTTTCCGAGCTACTTTTCTCGGTGGTCTCGGTGGCCGACTCTAGAAAGTCCTTAGTCAGGTCGATGGGTCTCGAGCTGACCTTCTTCGGCCGGGACTTCTTCAAGGAAATGGGATCTGTGATCCTTCTGCCAAAGTCCGCTTTCAATATGTTGTCTATACTGAACTTCAAGCCGGCCTGATGCTGCAGATTGTTGTTGTTGTTGTTGTTGTTGTTGTTGTTGTGATTATTATGGTGGTTACTGTTATTGATCCCATTATTCTGAACACCGTTCGCGCCACCGTGAATCGTTCTCCCGTTCTCCTCCCTCGGGCCGGGCGAGGCAGGGCTGCCAGGCTCCCTCTGAAGGATTTTGCTGACCGAGAGTCGGTGCTGGTGCACCGAGTTTGCGGGTACGTGTTGCACCTGGGACGTCTGATGAAGGTGGACGTGGCTGTTGGCGTGGTGCAAGTGTTGCTGGCCCGGATGCGGCATCAACGAGGCCGTTTCCCGTGGATCCCTGCACGCGGTTGGATGGAGGACAGGGGTGGTGGCCTGGAGACCGGTGACCGTCATGGCCGACGGTGGCGACAACGAAAGCCTGGTGACCAGCGGAACGCTGATCGGGGTCCTGTGCAACCTCTCCACGGTCGGGTAAACGATCTCGTGGCTCAGGCTGTGCTGGACTCGAGGCGGATAATCGGGGATCTCGGTCTCCCTCGACGAATAACGCGGTAACAAATGCGGCGGATGATTGGACTGATACCTGGGCACTATGACGTCTTGAATGGCCTCGGGCCGACCCGGGGAGGAGGCGGTGGCCGAGGAGGAAGCCGGTGACCTGACCGAGGACGCCGTGGGCGACGAAGGTGGTTGACTGTAAGCCGGTGGACTAGGTGCCGAGACGTGATTAGTCGTCCTCTGATAGAACGCGTCGTTGCAGCTCGTTGAGCTAGAAGGCGATGGCGTGGCCGATGTCCTCGTGTTCTCCTCGTCTCGAAAGTCACCGCCACGGCTGCTCGCCGATTCCTGGTCATACCTGACCGAGCCGCAACCACGTATTCCAACGACGCTCGTGGGCGTCGGTTCGCTACCGACGCTCAACACCTCGCTGGTGTCGCTTTCGCAATCGCTGTCAGGGTTGTTGCCGTCGCTTCCTCGTATCTGATCGCGTTTCTCGGAGTCGTCGAGTTCCAACCGAGTCGCCAGGTGATTCTGCCTGATCTCGTGGTGGAGATCGTTCGAATCTAAACCGGTCGACGCTTCCGGCGGCGTATTCGACATGTTTCCACGTGTTTCTTTAGTTTTTTCTTTTACTTTTGCTTTCCTCCCTCCTCTCTCGGAACCGAATTCCTTTCTTGCGCGCCTCGTCGAGTCGATCGGAAAGAAGAAGAAGAAGAAGAAGAAGAGGAGGAAGAGGAAGAGGAAGAGGAAGAAGAGGAAGAAGAGGAAGAAGAGGAAGAAGAGGAAGTTAAGCTTGGCTCGACTTTGACGATCCTCCCATGACGACGAGGTCGAGGACTTTTCTTTCTCGTCTCCGTTTTATCCTTCGTTCCGCTTGTCTGTCTGACAAGTTTCGGGACAAGTTTCAAGTACCTACCTAACGGATTCCGTCCGTTGCACGCTTCCAGGAGGGATCGTCATTTTCGCACGGGACACCTGTCCGTTCATAGGCCGTCCGTGGATCGTTAACTCGATCGGATCCTTCCCGATACCTCCTCAATCGCATAGTATCGCGTATACGATTCTACCGCAAGACGCACTTTTCTTTTTCGCCGGAAACTTGGAGATATTTCACACGCGCCTCGATTACTCTGTTACTGCCCAATCACTAAGCGTACTCTTCCCCCTGCGTAAGCGTATCTTGCCGACGGACACTGTTCAGCCCAGTTCATGACGGGTTGCCACGATGAGTTTCGTATTTATCTCCCATCTTCGTCGCGAAACTACCTGTTCGAGCGGGATACGCACTANGAACCGGTCCACTCGTGCCGCCAGTTCATTACTTGGACCGACAGCCCAACCGAGAACGAGCCGTGGTATCGTCCTCGCCGAGGTCCCTAGGCATCACTGACCTGTCGTACCGCCTTGAACTCCTCTCGATACGTCCATAATCCATCGCACTCTCACTTTCGCGCCCCTCCTTGAACCCGGATGGCCCCTCGAACCCAGGCCGAACGTGGAAAGAGTGGAGATCGAACGGAACGACAACGCGCACCAAACGCCGCACCGTTGGAACGAGGAGGAAACCGAGGCGGGAGCCCCGAGGCCAGGGGCTCGTCAACGTGGCGTGGGCACGAATAATCGGGGCGAGGAGAGACACGATGCTCGACGAAACGACGATCGACGACGAAACGTGGAGAGTCGTGTTCCTGTACGGCGCTGGTAGACGCGGGTTTCAACGGAACCGTTGTGCGACGCTGTGGATC